AAACAATTCCTTTGATTAGACTGCACCTTATACATTATGCCAGTGGTGAGGCAGTGTAAACAATTCCTTTGATTAGACTGCACCTTATACATTATGCCAGTGGTGAGGCAGTGTAAACAATTCCTTTGGGAAATAAAAATCTTACTATTTGTTTTTTTTTAAAGTGTTGCAAGTTTGTTTGTTTGCTTGTTGATGCTGTTGTTGCTTTGTTGTTGCTGTTTTTTTTTCGTCTTATAGGATATTACATCATCTACCACCAAATTAACCTATAACAAAATGAGATGATGAACTTTGAAGCCCTGATGTAGGCATCCCAAGATCCCTCTCATAATGACATCAGCACTGGTATTTATAAAATGCACAGTTAAAACTCTGGGTTCACACTTGAGTTAATTTACTTTTGTTCAATTTGACCTACTGCTCAATATTTAATTTGAGCCACTAGAAATAGTGTTAAGTAAATCACTTTATTTCATTTAAGAGATGAAAGGGAAGAATATCATTTATATTAAAATAGATAAACAAAAAATAACAGTGTTTTTCAATATTGCTCTTTGCATACAGTATTTACTGTTAGAGCACAGGCCTTAGAGCAGTGATCTCCAAATAGCGGTCCGTGGACCTTTACCGGTCCGCATGCCTAACGCTGCCGGTCCCCATAACATAATTATTTTTTCTCAAATAGAAATAAAAGTATAATATTCTTGTTTAACTATGTTACTCTTGTTTAACTGTAATATTCTTGTTTAACTAAGATTTTCTTGTTTAACTGTGATATTCTTGTTTAACCTTGATATTCTTGTTTAACTATGATATTCTTGTTTAACTGTGCTATTCTTACTTGCACATATCTAAAGGAACTCTTGTATCACCAACTAGTTGTTTTCTTTATTGTAGATCAAGTCACTCTAAAAACACATACACAACACAAACTAGGCTTAAAATTCTAAATAAAATGAGTAAAACAGAGTATGGTTAAACCTGAAAAATTAAACGTAACAGGTTACAGGTAATTTTTCAGGTTTAACCATACTCTGTTTTACTCATTTTATTTTGTACTAACCTGATTGCAGTCTCTCCCCTTATTATCCCTTAAAATTCTAAATTTTTTTCAAAAGGAAATGCATGTCATAGCATGAGGACACGTTCGGATTTATAGTCATTTGTTTTGATCCAATACAGTTAAACATTCTGTTGTACACGTTCCCATTCAATAAACTATTCTTTTATCATTTTTTAAAACTCAATCCTTAAGTTTGATAAAATGTGTATTTCTTTTTCTTTTTTTTTGAAATACATATTTGATGTAAGATCTAAGGTGGGGAGCCCATTTCTTGAATTGGGTTTCACTTCGGTAACCCTCCATATTTCTTGAATTGGGTTTCACTTCGGTAACCCTCCATACAATAATTATGCTAAATTCAACTTATTATCCTCACAAGATAAACACATATCCCTTTTGATTTTCTACAGATGTCCAGACTTAGATCAGAAGTTTATTCACACCATTCATCCACACCAATGTTATACATTCACATCTCAGTTTAATAACAAAATCTGTGTGCTATTGTAGGGAATGAAACACCAAAATTGTCATTACTTTATTTAAAATTTTATTGGGATAACTTTTCCCTTGATGTTGAATTCATCAGACACTGAAGGCAATACAATAGAATCTTCAACAAGAATTTGTGCACTATGTGTGATGTAAGTGTTTGAGGACCACTAAAGACATTCTGTTGTAGAGATGAATAAGCGAGTGGTCAACATAATAAACATTCCATTCGCATATATTCATGATAAACAGTTAAACATTTACTTGAAAGACTACCCATAGATTATAAATGTAATTTATTTTTTATTTTAAAATGTGTTACATTTTTAACAGTACAATCATTGTTACGAAAAGTATATAATAATTGAACTAATTAGGTATTTGATTGGTTGACTAATAAGAGAAAGTATGAATAATTGTATAAATGACTAAATCAATGAAGAGAGTATTAACAAAATAAATATTCACAATGCTGTCATCATTTTGAACAAATTAAAACAGTAGGGCCCACAATCCATGGGGACATCTGGACTAATCGTAAAGTGATTGAGAGAATGTCAAGTTTGATTACAGAAAATAGCAGAATTGATAGACTGCTACAGTTAAAAACATTGTGGTAGACGCACTGCCGCTTTTAAATGAAATTATTCTAGCCAGCTAAACAACTTAGAAATTAAAAAATAAAATTACTAAATGCTGATGAAGCAATATGGAATCCCATTTAACCCTAACAGAACTGCTACCACAAAAAAAAACAAAAAACAAAGAAGAGAAAATAGCCTGTTTTAAAATGAACCTTTCTAGATGGCAGTAGTAGCTCATGTTGAAGGAGAATTAAAGTATTCTTTCAACACGTGATGGTAACATTATGGCTTGCGAACTCAAAACTCCATAAAAATCCTTTGTATTAGATTTAGATTAAACAAATATTGATCTGTGGTGAACTGAACAACAATCATTGAATCAAACTGAACATGAAAGAGTTGCTGACCACAACAATCATTCTCAGTTGACACCAGCAATTGAAGAGTTGCTCAACTGACCACAGCCTTGAGCAGCATTAACAGTCAAAGCCTGCACATATGTCAGACACTTATTCACTGTTTCAACAATAACCTTTCACAATTATTTTCTATACACATTTGAAATAATCTCACACCCTCACATAAACAAAAAGTGTTCTTTTGCAGAAGTAACCTTAGCACACAAAAACCAATACTTTGATTTCAAACTTAATGCAAGAGCCAGAGTGTTTGTAAGTAGATTTTCAACAAGTTTTTGCACGCCCTGTATTTGTACTGTTTCCACTGATCCATGCTCCTGATAAGATACATTCCAAATATGTGTTTCCTATAAACATTCAAGGTATTTTCTAAAAACTTGCTCTTTGAAAACAACGCAAATTTCAAAGTTGGGGATTTGTGATTGCCCCACCCCTCCACTTACCAATTATAATCTATCTGGGCAGTGTTTTATCTTAAGCCATCAGGACTTTGTTGTCATTTTTTTCTGGTTATGTGCCCCAGAAAACCGCTAATTTAAATTTATGGTTGGAAAATATTCAATTTGAGTTTAGCTTGCAGAAATTCCTCAAGTTGCTTTTACTTTTACTGTCAATTTAAATCAAGAGTAAAAAAAAAGAGTATTAAAATGACAGTTTAGTATGCAGAGTCTCTTGTGACCTAGCAGAGTCTCTTGTGACCTAGCAGAGTCTCTTGTGACCTAGCAGAGTCCCTTGTGACCTAGCAGAGTCTCTTGTGACCTAGCAGAGTCTCTTGTGACCTAGCAGAGTCTCTTGTGACCTAGCAGAGTCTCTTGTGACCTAGCAGAGTCTCTTGTGACCTAGGGTTAGATATCATCAGCTCATAATAAGATTGGTCACAAAAAATATTTAAATGTGCATCAATTTATCAACAAAACAAAGATTGTCAAGTCATCCAATAGAAATATTTAATAAACATGTTTAGTGTTGGGCTGACCAGACAACTCATCAACCATCTCGTTTTAATAAATGTGCATATATGTTGCAAGCACTGAGATATGTTATTACAAGTAGATGTGATGTAAATGAATTAATGATATCCAGGTGGGCAATGCACTGTTCAATTTCTGCAAATATTTGTAAATTACAGACCTTTAAAATGCAGTTAAAAAATATGCCCGCTTCAAAAAATGCAGTAATAAAATTGGCTGGCATGGATTAAATTCATTTAAAATATATAACAAGTAAATCTATTATTGTCATATTAACAGTTAACTCGACCCATTCCAAAGCATACCTAGCAGGGCTAACCATGATGTGCTTTCTCACGGGTGCCCCACAATTAAATTTTTTAATTTATAATTTTATTTCCATTTTCACTTTGGGACATGACATCCAGTCTGGCAGACCTGGTGCAAACCAGCAACTCAGTAATAACTGTTTGCAGAACTATCAACAAATGATTACTAGACTTATTTTTTTATAAATTTTATAGCTAACCTGATAATTAAGCAATTAGGATTTGAAATAGGGTGCCTGCAGAAGACCTGGATTCAGCAAGGGTGACATGATAGGGTCAAGTTTTGGAACCACAGAGTGAAGTGATTTATCAACATCTCATCTTTTAATAGTTACACTTATTTCACATTCTAGTCAGTCATGTGATCCTAAAACTTTCTGTGCATAACAATTGGCCAACCAGGAGATCTATGATAATTTTTGCTAGCAGCTATCTACTTATGTTCTTTAACAGCTCACAAGTCTTTTATCAACCCTATCTACTGGTTAATCTCAAGAAAGAAGCTCACCTCACCACTGGCACATGTTTGTGTCATGATAATTTAAGCATTTAACCATGTGTTTTGACTGTAACATTTCATTGGTTACTATCACCACTGACACATGTTAGTGTCATGATAATATAAGCGCTAGAAAATGTGTATTGACCATAAAATTTCATTGGTTACTTTAATATCAACACCAGCATCAAATTTGTAATTCTCTCTTTTTTTTTTTTTTTTTTTTTTTATATAAATTTTATTATTTTTAAAACCCATTAATTTAGCATTTTTTTTTTTAAACCATACAATAGAAATATTAATTATTTCAGTGTTAGAGCTTTGTGTACTAAAGCAGCGGTTCTCAAAGTGGGTCATATGACACCATCGCCACTAAAACCTTGAAAAAGAGGACTTTACGCAAATTAAAAAAGAGACATTTTTTTTTATTATTAATAACAGGAAAGGGCGCCATGAGGTAAATAAAATATTATAGTGGGTTGAAATGTTGAGAAACGCTGGACTAAATGATAGTTTATTATTCCAACTGTGTTCCAGCCAAAACCATGTGACATTGGATTTTACCATTTCCGGTTTGCCTGAAATTTCTGAAGTTACCATAAAAATAAAGGAAGTCTTTTTTATTTATGAAACTGTGCAGTGTGTGAGGAGGATATTTTGTCAAAGAGCAAAAGAGCATACAACTGCAACATAACTCAAGATCAATTAAACCTAGAAAAAACAAATTTAACACAGACAGAGTTACCCAGTTTTATAAGTAAATCAGACACAAAGATTGAACAGTTATTGTTGAATATGTATGAGCTAATAATTCTGCGTGTATTTTAACTCATACCCTGCAACATCCTCTATCCCCAGGCAACTCAATATAGAACGTGTCATTAAAAGTAATGGTACAAGATGGTCAAGTTAAAACTGTCAATACAACATTGTGTACATCAACCCCTACTAGACCAGGCATCTTTTTCAACCTGTGACTAGCTTGCTAATTGTTACACATTTTCTAATGAAATTTTAAAAATTTACAATCAATTTTACACTAAAATTGTTAAAAATACCTTTTCAAAGTTTGCTTAGTGGCTCAAATTTTATATGCTGTACATACAGTGGTAAAAAGACTATTAATGTCCAATAATCTATGTAACATTAAATAAAATCAAAATTAACAACAACATTGTGTGGCTGATCAATCTATTAGCCGCGATTAACACAGAATTTCTTTTCTTTTTTTTTAAAAAAGGAAATAAATTTAGAAAATATACAAGAAATATTTTTGAAGTGACGTCATCTCTCATTGGAGGGTGATAAGTTGATAAACCTGAGGTTACTAAGGTAACATCAACATCGGAAGAAAAGAGGGCAGGCTTGTGGTAACTCAACTTTAATGAGTGGCGCCATCTCCACACTTTTTTACTAAAATTAAACATTTGAAAAAGACTAACTGTTATTAAATTGATGATGATATGACCCAGTGAAAAGGAGTGATCAGTATAACAATTATAGGAAATAATTTACTTACAACTCTAGCATTTATATAAACTCATCATCTTACTACCAACACCTACCGGTATATAAATTCATCATCTCTTCACTAAAAACTTAAGCTCTCAATACTTTACAAAAGAGCATAATATTTTTTAAATATGTTCATTCAGTTGAAAATAGTATACAAAGCTTAAATGCAATTTTAAGGAAATTTGAGCTACATTTTTTTCTCTTCTCTCAATTAATTTCCTTACTTTGTTTACCAACAGTATAAACTTTCAACAATATTCTAGGGAAACCTATTCCAAGAATTGAGTTTTTATTTTTTTAAGGAAAAAAAGATTAAACGACCTTTATCACATGATAAATTATGACATTGTGAATAGAAGAAATATAGAAAATAGAATTTTGGAATCTCCAAAACAAAAATTCTTTTTCGAGCATGTAATTTTAAATGAAGTGTGATTGAAAAAGAGCTGCATGTAAGACAAATATGAATCATTGCAGTCATGTCAGTCACGGTTCATGATAAGCTAGCATACAATGAAGCACCCAACACACCCACACTCCCCCAAACACTACATGGCTTCAGCACCTTCTGGCACATGCTTCATTCGCTTCTTCAGCAAAGGATTGTTGGACTGTTGCAGATTCTTAATGTTCACATTTTGGTCATAATCCACTCGCATAGTGGCCAGAGCGTGTGTCATTTCCTCCTGTATTTTCAGATAAAACAGAGAATAAGGCACTGAAATATAATTCTCAGTATGAATAGTTGAGAAGGTAAAAGATTAGCCTTCAAATCACCAACACAAAATTTGATAATTTGTACGATTGCGCACTAATTTACAAATGTTTACAAAAATTTGTGGGACGTGAATATTGTTATTGCCTCAAATTAAAATGTTCCTTCCTACAAATGACACAAATATAATGCCATCAGAATTTTTCTGAAGACTTATCTCATTTTAATTATATTTTAACAATATATCAAGAGGTTCTATTTATAATATATGAAAAATATGATGTTGCAGAGTATAAAATAAATGTTTTTTTAAACAATTTTTAATTAAATTTTTAATTGAATGAAATGAATATGATTTGGTTTAATTTAAAATTTAGGAAAACATTTTCTTGAAATGAGACTGCTCATTTGATTTCAGTCTGAAAATAATGTAATACAAAATGTTGTCAAATTAGATCACGTACAGATACGCTTGTAGGAGTCTAACTTTTAAGGATAGAATGGAAGATCACGTACAGATACGCTTGTAGGTGTCTAACTTTTAAGGATAGAATGGAAAGACAACAAATTGTAGGATACGCTTGTAGGAGTCTAACTTTTAAGGATAGAATGGAAAGACAACAAATTGTAGTGAGCAAATTTGAAAAGCAGGTTCTTTAATGCCATTTAAATTTTAAAACAATATATTTTCCCATATAAATTCAGCTTTCTAATGATATATGTACCTCCTGATATAGAAATAATATAAATAATATTAATTTCATGATCAAAGACATTGATGAATTGATGGCAAGTGATTAAAAAAAAATGTATTCTCATATCACACCTGTACATCCATCCATGCATCCTCTTCCTCCCTCAAAACCTGGGCAGACATCAGTGGGGTTAGTGGGACAAAGGTGTTGTCCTGGTTATGGAAAAAAAAGGTCATGGTTAGACACTTTGATGTACGCAGATGGCTCATCATGATATAGTTTGATGGGTTTTTCTTAGATAAGCAATTAAGTCATATTTACATATGTCACTGAGTTATGTCTTAACCCTTTACAGTCCAAGCCTATTTAGCCTTGCCTACTCCCAGCGCCCCAAGCAAGGGGACATAACTCCATGTTAAATGAAGGTTCTTTATCTAATTAATTTACAGAAAATAAACTAGAAGCAAGAAAATAAAATTAAAAATACCTAAATGCAAATAAATGATTTAAGCAAAAGTTAAACCTAAAATCAGTTTTGGGGACCCTCCCACATTGATTTGTGAAATATTCCCAGACCACTCACGATCTTGCTGATCAGTTGGATTTGATAGGTCCGTTGTCATCGATGTCTCTACTTTTACCTTCTTCACTTGAATCACTATTACTAGTAGCATCATTTAAATTAATGTCTCTATCAGATTCTTCACTATCGCTGCTAGATGTATGAAATAGTAAAGCTTCATTAGGCCTAATTTCTATCAAAATTGTATCCACGACTTGGAAAGCCATATTTTACAGCGAAAAAATTGCAACTTTTTAAAAAATCGTAGAAAATGAGCTCCTAAAAACACTGCGGTCAAACTAGTATCAAAATAAATGCCGATAACGAGGCTTTTTTCTGGTAGAACTATAAATAGTAATGCGCAATGGATTTCCGCTGTGCTAAGAACGAAAGTAAACAACCTCGAAACGAGGGGGTTTGGCGCAATGGACTGTAGGCTCAAGGGAAAAATCGGCGCATTTCGGACGCATCGTTTTTGTAAAGGGTTAATATCCAAAATAACATTGTCATGGTTAGATGGATCATCCAGAAATGGATCATCCAGTAATAGATCGCTCATAATATAAAACGTAGAATTTATTTTACTTTTACTTAATTCTCTATGCAAGTATTATTTCAATCATTTTTGTCAGTATTTCTTGGTTTAAAAAAACAGAATGTAAAACAAAAATTTCTATTTTACATTGAAAGCAAATTAATATTAATACGAAAAATAATGATACTAACAGCAACCCATTTATTTTGCATAACTTGAACAATAGTCAATCTCTTGTCAGGGTCTGTTCGCAGCATGCCTTTAATAAGGTCTTTTGCTAATGAAGAAAATTCAAAAAAAGAATTGCAGATATTAAGAAAGCTAATAAAACGTATAATTGTTAAATTACAACTCATGGCTACAAATACAAAATTAATGATCTCATTTTGGTTTGACCACAATTAGGAATAGTCTCCTGAATAGCCACAGCTAAAAAAAACAAATAAATGTGATTTTAATGACAAAAATCTTATTAGATTTAATCAATTTGGTTTTGATATTGGATGAAAACTTTATAAAACTTGGGAAAATATATTTTATTTATCAAAATACACCTTTTTAAAGCCTTTATATTAACTTGTTCTTATTATTATAACTTCGGTGGCTGGCAAGCAAAATCTTTCGATGGCTAATTGACCCACTTTCCATCTTCCTGAAACTTAGCCCATAGACTCGTTGCTGGTGACAACACATTCTGTCAAATATTCAGGCCCACCTACCAACCCCAACCCCCGAAAATAAGTTTTTTGTTTTTTTATCAAGAGGAACATGAAGGAAAATTCTCGATAACTGAACTAAATGAGATTCTTATTAAAAAATCTCGCCAGTATATTTGGTGCGTAATATATTCTTGTTTTTCTGAAATAGTGAAATAAATCAGCGGTGCAAAAGTGGGTTTGTCATTAGAATATTAATATATTTTTGGCATGGACAAAAATGTGCGGTTGTGGCCTTGAAGAGGAGGGGGGGGGGGGTTGCATGACTTGTATGCAACTTTTTGTCAAATGTGCGGCCAAAACCCCCATTGCACGATATCACATTTTAAGAAGGGTTTATACACAAAACTTTGTTTTAAGGGGCTGTTTATTTTAAAATATATTTTTGCAATAATTGTCTACCTCAAAATGAATAAATAATTAAAAAGTAGCAAGACATTGCAAATAAGTAAATTATTCAAAATAATTATTTAATAAAGAATTTTTTGTTACTATTTATTGTTACATTACCTTCAGGACTGACTCGACTCCATTCAGGGTTTGGGAACTCATATTGACCATTTCGAATCCTTTTCTTCATGCCCGGGGAAATGGCAGCACCATGGTTACTATAAAATGGTGGATAGCCACATAATCTACAAGAAAAAAATGCAGAAGTGAGAACTTCATTGGCAATAGGATTACCTATTTCTGTGGTAATTTTAACTTAAAAGACTTAATTGTATATTAGAATAATCGTATTACTAGATTGACGACTCAAACAACTTTGTCAACAAGCTATTATAATTTTTAGTTAAATTGAGATACAATGTTTTTGGGGTTTGTAAAATATTAGTTTGAGGATCTGTGTAAAGACTACAAAAATGTTTATACAATTCCTAAATAAATATCTTTTAAAATAGGCAAATTAAGACTATTCCAACTGAGAACAAATCAAAGTCTGTCACCAGGCTAATTGTAAAAGATAGAAGTTGGTTAAAAATAACTTTTAAAAAATTGAAATTGAGTTCTTGCATATTTACATTTTTAACCAAAATTAATAAAAAAAATATAAAAAAACAAGTTATGAAATCTAAAAAATGGTTTTTAAAAAAAGGTGTACACTGTTAGCAAAATAAATTTGAAATATGTTTTCACTCTTCACCGAAACATTGAAAAATAATAAGAGCCAAGTACTACAAATTAAGGCTTTGTTATCTTGCAAATAGTTCAGCTGCTAAGAAAATTTGCTGAGTTTGTTGTAGTCTTTGCAATTACAACAGCAACATGTGAAATACACATATTCTTTCCATCAAACCACACTTCCTCTATCAGTTGATACATAATATATAAATAACAATTAACATAAATCTCTAACAATACGTTTCATCCATGGTATTAACCCTGAAACTGATGATCGGCCAAGATACCCCTTTCTGTGGTGTTCCAGCCGATATAATTGGCAGTTAGCAATATCGTCATTAAAAATGCGAATTGATTTAATTTATATTATTTAAGGGGAAATCACTCTATATAATGAGTTCATTTCCTATTTCCGTTACTATCAGTGTGTTTACATGTTTTTATCATGGACTTTTTTGTGATAAATGGGGTATAAAATTGTTCTCAAATTTTTTCACCGCCACAATGTCTGGTGCAGGAGAGGGCCCCCCCTTTGGAACTTCTAAATTAACACAGAATTTCTTTATTGGAATTATTTTAAATATATTAAAATGAAAGCAAAGATATCAGAGATATTCCACGTGCTAGTAATGACAGCATAGGCTCTAGCGGTGATGTTGAGATAAGATTCAGATATTGACAATTTTATCCCTAAGCTTAGTCGTATTGTTACAGACAAATTGGTTTGGGAAAGGGTGGACAGATTTGATCCTAAAGATCTACCCCTAAGATATTCATGTTTGTATATGTTGTGGAGTAAAAATTAATACAAATGGATTTAATAACTTCAAATGAAAAGGAATTTTTGAACTCATTTCGTGCCGTCTCCCTTGTATTTTGTATGACAGAGATTTGAAGGTAGTGGAATGAATAAATTCACCAATATCACAATTTTCAATATAAATAATTATACATTGTCATTTTCTGAAAGAATATTGCTTCCAGTTTATCAAAAACTTGATTTTCTGACAGTTTGAACAATTTATGGAGTATTTAGGGTGGGTTGAATTCATAAGTTGAGTAGTGAAATTTTTACTCACTCTGTAAAGGTCAAGGTCAATATCAACATACATAATATAAAAACAAATTATTTTCATACCATAAGATACCTTGTCCAATGAACTTTCAGAAAATATATAACTTGTAAGGTTCTCTAAATTCATTTAATCTAGGATTTTTGTCACTTTTGAAAAGCATATCAAATTGCGAAAAATGGCTTGACGCTACAGAAATTTGTTTTTGACAGTTATAAGGTTGACAATAATTTGTTAAAAACCTTATTTCATACTTACAAAATGTACATAATTACTCCTAGTGACCACATATCACACGATTTATCATATTTTTCAGGCCCTAACACTTCAGGTGCTGAAATATAGAGGTAAAAAAAATAAACTTTATATTTATTTGCAGTGTGTATATTAACTGGTTAACTACCATGAGCCTGTGGGAGTGGCTGGGCATTTCTTTCGTTATAGCCATGAGCCGCTGGTAGTGCCAATGTTTGTATTGTAGTAAATGTGACCTAGACTTAATTCAGCCACAGCGAGTTTTTCAATCTGGTAGCTAATGGGTTAATATACAAAGAGGGAAAATCATTTCAATGATTATATTTTTTTTTCTTTTTTTTTTTAACTGGTGCTTATTTACTTTAGCAAGTAAGAAAAGAACAATCTTTCTTATAACAAACTTTAAGAGAGAATATATTTCTTAATTTTTAGTATTATCAATTACCCTGGTAATCATGCAGCTCAGAATCTTTGGCAGATCAGTTCAACTATTCAAAAATATTGACCTCATCAAAAATGTTTTTAAAAAAATAAATGTGTTTTTGTATCCCTCGAATATATCAATCTTTTTCAACATCAAATTAATTTAAATGACTTACTTGAAGATGACTAACTTACCAACATAATATGGTGTGTAACATGGTGTCTGTAGTGATTTAAACTGTCCCGTTTCCTTAGCAAAGCCAAAGTCTGTCAGCTTCAGAATTCCATCATTTGATTTGTTTGAATACAGCAAGTTTTCAGGCTATCCAAATACATAAGACAGAGTAAAACTAGCAATAAAAAAATAGAGTGATGGGAAAAAGAGTAGCTGCTGAAAACTTTTGATTTTTCCCAACTCAGGAATAGTAATGGGCAGACACTAATCACAAGCTCTTGTAAGTTTAGTTTTCCCGATTGCTTTATAAATGACAAGTTCAAAAAGCCTCCTTCCCTAAAAGTAGTCCATCGTGACTTTGGTTGATCCATCTTCAAGTGCCTGGGTGTGTGTATGGTAGTGGTAATGGATAATGTGCTTTCCAAGTTAATATATATTTTTTTATAAAAAGGCTTCTTAACATTAAGATTTAGTACTTCACTAACTGTTAGGTTGAAATAGAGCATCACACCAATACTTTAAGTAAGAAAGAAAACAGACAATTCTAAATAAGGATTTCCACATCTTTATACTTTTCACATTTGTTCATGTGCTGAATATGAATAAGTAAAAAAATAATTTAAAAAAAAAAAAAATAAAAAAAAAACATTTCCTTTTATTTGGATCAATAAAAGAATCTCATCTTATCTTAATTACCATGATCACTTTCAATGAACCAAATGTAATGCTTATATACAAAGAAACATACTCTATTTTAAGGACTCAGTATAAAATTTGTTAATAAGACTTACAGACACAAAGAGTTTTTAATGTTGTTCTGCAATAATACAGGTTAGTCTTTTCCGTTATTTAGACATTAAACTCTTGTAACCAAAATTTTATAACATAATGTTTTTAAAATCCTGCTATCAAAACTACTAGATTACTGACGTGAAATGATACATCTTTTTATTTACCTTTAAGTCCCGGTGCGCAATGTCCATGGAATGTAAGTGAAAAATTGCTTTAGCAATATCTCCAATTATAGAGGCTGCCTCTGGATTTAAAAGAATAGTGTTAGTAAACAGTTCACGAGTACAATGAATTTATAAAAGTCTGCTCTAAAGGCTGTGTCATGTAATATTTCTAAATTCTCTTCTTTACTAAAACATAAATTCTGAACATGAATCAATTTATTAAAAACATTTCAATTTAATAATATGATAATAAGTAACAAATAATTTCCCCACCGTGAAATAATATTTACCTCTTTCTGTAAATGCTGTATCTGCTCTTTCTTGAATGCGTGTGAAGAGCTCTCCACCTTCCATGCTAAAATAATGGTAATATTTCACTGAACCAATTGACTATTATTTTCCTAGTGTGTTTTTCTACTAAAATTTGAGTTTTCAAGGCCAATAAACAAAAATATGAAAGATTATTTTATGAAAACGTCAAAATAACTTATTTTTTATAATAACTTATAACTTCTGAGAAAAACGTGAATTATTTACCACTCCATGACAACAAGTAGACATTTTGTTCCGGCATATTGATTCTCATAAACATCATGAATTTTAACTATGTGGCTGCACCCCATGCAAGCTCTGACATGTAGATCAACTTCTCGTCTAGCTTTAGGAACATCTTTCAACACCTGTCAGCACAAAGAAACATGTATAAGAAAAAGACCAACTTTTTTTAAAATGATCAATAAAATAACTTCTTTGATCATAGCACTCTGTAAGAGATAACTTAAATCGTTTTATTATAATTCAAATGTATAGTTAATCTAATGAATATAACTTTATAGATGAACTTTTCCTGACTCAAGAAATATTCAAACCCTTTTTTAATCAGTACATAATAAAGTCAACATCAAATTATTTGTCACAACATTGCAATATAAATTATAAATAGTGGGGGGAAAATTTATCAGAGATCCATAGCTCCATTCAAGGTTTAAATAGGAGGGTTAACAAAGCAGCAATATAAGACAGCACACAAAAATCACCAAATAATCTAAGAAATAAGGGTGATTATTGGTTGAAATAAGGGTGATTATGGAATGGAGAGAGAAAAAAAGCATGATGAATTATTAGGTGAGGAGACAAAAGGAAAGCTTGTAAAACAGGGTTGGGGTCAAGAATGGGGGTTGGTTGGACTTTGAAAAGAGGTTGTGGGGAAAGGACAGAAGAACAGAAGTGCCAGAAGTGGAAGACAGGTTTGCACAGATTAATCAGCATATTGGTAACCAAATCTATCAGTAATTGGTAGATCATCATTAAAGATAATCCTAATAATTATTTTCACAGGAAACGCAGGAAGGGTTTGTTTTTTTTGTGTCTGTATAATTGTTCTTTTACAGCCTACAAAATCCTCTGAGTGCCATAAATATGAGTATCAAAGTTGAGTGTCAGAAGAAATCATAACTGTGCATAAATGTTAAAAACGAGAAAGTTAAATAAAGTCCATTTGGATAGGGAGAATTCTTAGAGTGAGCTCTCTTTGTTTGAGGGAGATCGAACATGCAGATTGATGACATTACTGTCACATACTCAATATTTAATGATTACAAATGAGTGAGGCAAATATTTTTTCCAGGATGAATAAAGTGGAATTTTGATAATTTGTGCAAAAGTATATTGACTTTACTGTATTCTTACTGGTTTTTATTTTTGGTGGAACCATTTTAAAAATATGCAAAAGTGTATTTGAGTAAGACTATTGAAAGCTGTAAGTTGCGTTTTACATATTGCATCAATTTTTATGTTTTCTTATTTTACATGCAGTGTGTGGCACACACTGCTGAGTGTGGCACACACTGCTGAGACTCCATGAAGAAAGGAGGTGACTGCAGGCAACTGACAATTTTTGACGCATATCTGAGGGAAACAATAAAGGTGCTACACTTTGTTTTCCACAAACTAATAATAGCATATCCTTAAAATTAATAAATTACAATTTTTTTTTAGTTTACATGTTGAGTATGTACTGCTTCATCAATATGTCTGCTATCTTGTGACCTACATCAAAAGATGGAGGTCACTTCAATAAAATTATTGCTCAAATTTGAATGAAAACTGTTAAAATTATCTTTAAATCATTTATCTGTAAATTTTGGGTTAACACTATGTGTTTTGCCAAGAGTTGTCTCACCCTACGCTATGACATCAATTTGGGAAATCCCAAGAACTGGATTTAGGGTGAATAGACCAATGGTAGGACCTGAACGATGTGTTTGATAACTTTCCTATTCTCTACTGAGCATTTCTCGCGTCATAAACTAAAGCTGGCGATCGATACAGTTAATTTGAAATATATTATAATGAATTTTCCATTAATTTGTATGTAAATTCAACTTACACATTTCAAAAGAAATGAAAAAAGAAACACATCCTTGCCGATACCTCAATACCGGTGGGGGGGAAAAAAGACAAGCGCTAAAAGTACTGTCTTTTGATTAGATAAAAATTGAAATACTTGTATGTTAAAACTTCAGTGACAAAAGGGAGACTACTGCTTAAATTGTATAGGAAATAGGTTTGTCATGTGCGAAATGATCTTCTGGGGAGACCCCTGCCCCACTCCCTCCCCCTATTTAAATACAAAATAAGAAACAAAGAAATCCCCTGGGGAGGGCAGATAAAGCACGGACCAACGCGCTCTACATTGTTTCAGTATCATGTTTGTTTCTTTGCCATTTCTCGTTTAAAATTTTTAAGAGCTATTTTTACATAAGACTTTTAAACTTTTTTATAAGTGAATCCAAGATTTATTTGTTGTCATTTAAAGCATTATTTTAATGATTTTCTTCACTTTTTTTTCTACTGTGGCTATGGCCACCCTAGTAGGTGAGTAAGTTTACTCGACGATTAACAGCTCAAAAAGCTTTAGAATTGTTTTATACTATTTCTTTTGATAGTGAAGATGATTTATATTTATATCCATTGCATGATTCTGATAGTAGTAGCTTTAGAGGATTTGAGTTATAGAAGTAAAGATGATGTATGCTGATTTCATAGGTTTTGGGGAAAAAAATGGTTTAGCATATAATTTTTTCACATTTTATGGTTCTTCTCTGTTACTTATTTTATTTTAACGGAAGAAATTAGTTTACAAACATATAGCCCGTTCAATTATATTTCATCTGATACCAAGTTTAGTCTTATAAATCAAAAAATATTTAGAATAATTTTTTATAAACCCAACCTCCCACTCTTTGAAAATAATGTGCATTTTTTCGATTAAAAAAATTCAGCAGCGAAAGAGTTAAGTGAACAAAAACATAAATATCGAAATCTTTTGAATATGGCGCTGTAGACGGAAGTTGATCTGGGGTAACCTCAGTGAACTTTGAAACCGCTGACCCAAAATCAACCCATTTATCCATAGGTTTTTTAATTAGTATTAGGTTTAAGAAGACAAGTGTCAAGATCAATGCCAAAACCATCACTATTTAACATTGAGGTGGTTGCCATATGTCAGCATCAAAGGTGTCAAAACAAATCGTGAATAACAGTAATGACAAAGATTTTAGTAGATATAAGAATATACGTCTAAGTCAGTGATATTATTATTCAAATAAATGACATAAATAATCATTAATAATGCTTTGCTGCACTGCCAACTTCAATCAACTTGCATTTTTATTCATTATTAAGATACAACCCACCAAGTCTTAAATGTGAGCCAATTAATATTATGTAATGTATTTAAATATAAGGTTAAAAATGAGGACGCAGCCACTTTTTTATCGAATTTCACGAATGTATCCCTAAATAGATCCCTATGACTATGCCTAACCTGAACCCTAAATCGATCCCTAAGAAAGCCAAATCTAACCCCTATTCACTGCAACTATAAAAAAAATAAAGACACAAAAGACGCTGTGGCAGCAGTCCTCGGTTTTAGCAAAATATAATATAGAGAGAGAGACAGACTTTCTACATTAACTAATATCTTAATATTAAAAATATGAGATTCAAAGTTTTAATATATTATTATAATATATAATATTCAAGTTAAAAGTAGTTAAGTGCTACCTTAAGCGCAAATTTTGCCGATGTTGCTCTACAAAAACATTCGTGAACCTTTCCATTGATACCCAGACCAAGTACAGATCCTGTGAGTCTATAGTCATCCGAAATCGGATTCTTTTTGGGTTGGAGAGGTCTTCCAACAGCCTGTCCCATCATAGTGTCAGCTTTAATCCTAAAAGAGTTTGGGAAATGTAAAATAAAGTTGTTATTTCCCTATTAGATGTCACAAGAAAACCAACCGGATACCAAAATTAGGAAGTGACCAATTTGTCTAAAAATAGATCTACAAGTTATAAACGTAAAAAAACTAAATCATCTATCGAGAAAACAAAGCATTTTATTTTTAATTGTCTGGGAGCGATAAATTATTTTTATGACAAAAAACAGTTAATTTTACATTTTATGTGTGAGTCTAATTTAGGAAAATGTGGATATATATCTTTTATTAAGGTATAATATAGTATTAGTGAAAACCTTTCTTATTTTCTTTTCTGGTTCTGATAATGTTTCGTTGCTGCATCCATGTACTTGCATCTTTGCGACGGTTGGGGGTATCATGTTGCTATTCTAACAGCTCCTGGCTGATGCCAGGGCAGCCTTGAAGCTTCTCTATTAGTGAACACTTTTTTATGTATATTTATTTCAATTTCAGCTTTCAAACTTCTAATTTATAAACTCTTCTTCTTCTATATATTAAGGCCCACGATCAATTTATTGATCATTTTGCCTTCTATGCACGTAGAGGGGATTTACAATGTTTCTGTGCCTGCTGTTGATGAGGATATTTCATTGGTTGCTAGGGCTACTTTGTGGGGGGTATCATGCACTGTGGGTTGGAAGGCCTTAGGCAATAGACGCAAATGTGTTTGGTGTTGTCGCTTCAACAGTTCCTTCTGAAAGCTTGTTCCAGTCCCTGATTGTCTTTGGCAGGAATGAGCAGTTCCTATACTGGCTTCCTGCTGGCATGAGCCGGAATTGCCTGTCATGGCCTCGTCGCTGTCTATGGGGGAGAGGGACGCGTTTTTGTTTAATGCTGGAGCAGTGGACCAGTCCATTATTTATCTTGTACATCATGGAGAGCCTCGATAGTCGTCATCGTTCCTCCAGTAGTGACCAGCTCAGTGTTTCCAGCATGCTGCTAACACTAGAGGTATCCTGTAGCGGTTTAGGACAAAGTGTGCTGCTCGTCGCTGGACCGCCTCCAACCTGTCAAAGCTCTTCTGGGTAAATGGGTCCCAGACTGAAGATGCATAATCTAAAAGCGGACGAACAAAGGCTTTATAGGCTCTTTCTTTTACACTGGAGTTGCCGATCTTTAGATTACGCCTTAATAACCCCAGGGTCTTGTTTGCCTGGTTGCACACATTGTTAATATGCTCATCCCAGTGGACCTCTCTTTGAATGGTAAAACCCAGCTACCTTACGGAGGAAACTGGCTCAAGTATATGGCCATGCAGTTCGCAATGGTAGTGTAGAGGAGTAAAACATCTTGAGTCTGACAGTGTCTAGCACTTGGCAGGATGAAATTCTATATCCCAGCTCATCTCCCACTCAGCTAACCGATTGAGATCCCATTGTAGCTGGTCCTGCTCAGATCTGTTGGCGATCGTCCAATACACCGCGGTGTCATCTGGGAAAGTCTTGCTTGTGATGTCAGTTTCTCGGGTAGGTCATTGATGAATGTTAGGAACAAACAGGGGCCTAGCACTGATCTCTGAGGGACCCCTGACTTAACACCGACAAGAGGTGCTTGTACCGTCCACCACTACTGCTTGGCGTCGGTGGCTGAGGAAGCTAGAGATCCATGTTTTAGTGGTGCCTTGGATCCCATATCTCTGAAGTTTGTGTAGAAGCAAACTATGACTGACACGGTCTAATGCCTTTGAGAAGTCATCACCAGCACGTCAGTCTGCTTGTGGTTCTCGATATTGGTCATCAAGTCTTCTACAAATTCAAGGAGCTGGGTCTCTCATGATCTATTAACTCGGAAGCCATGTTGACAGTCAGTGAGTATAATTTTGGCTTTCAAGATGTGTCATGACTGAGCTTACGATTATGTGCTCCAACAGTTTGCATACCACGCTAGTTAGGGTTATTGGCAGGGTCGGAAAGCTCCCTTTTCTAGTACATTGAAGTGACGTGCATTGTTCTCCAGTCTGCAGGAACATTGCCTGTGCACAGCAACGATTGGAAGAGGATTGTCGGTGCAGGAGCGATTTTTTTGGCTAATTCTTTGAGCACTCGAGATTTGATGTTGTCAGGACCACATGCTTTATAGGGGTTAAGGGTTTTGAGGAGGGCAAGCACAGGACTGTCCAGGTTGTAAGGGACAGCAACAAGTACTACTCCTCCTCGGTCTTTTCTGTCTCACCGGAATCATTTGTAATTATCCGGTAAAACCTCTGCGTTGGCTATGGGGGGATTTAGCCATGTTTCTGTGCCCAGTATGATGTCAGGTTTTAGCTATCATATACTATACTTTACAAACTCCATACTATACTATATATAAAAATCAACCTTTATCACTGGTTTAGTATTATGGAACTGCACATATACAACGCGAAGGGGTGGAGTGGTTTATCATTTTGTTATATTCTGTTATGGGGTTATATATAAATGACGTCACGCAAATTTTGCCGTTTTTTACCCTCCCTCCTCCTTCCAGAGGTAAAAGTACCTTCCCAGCCATGACGAATGGAAGACCAGAAAATTGTATTCAATGGCGTATCTAGGGGTGCGGATGGCACCGGGTGACACCATCTCAGGGGGTGACACCCAATTGAAAAATTACATATTTACAGAACACACACTGCTCGGTCTAACTGAAATTCATAAAAGGATAACAGATGTCACGTACATTTTCCACCCATATAACCAATCAAAATGCGTGTTTTATTAAAATTTCAAGGTTGATGCGTCAGCAATTAGTTTACCTTATTATTAGGTCAGAAACACACCGTTTGACATGTTTCAACGCCGAATGAAGTGTTTGTTAACTTTTGTAAGTGACAGGAAGCTATATTTATCCAAATTCTGAGAAATAAAGCTATCTTTTCATAGCAATGGGCGAATCTAAGTACATATCACAGTTCTTAAATAAATTTACTTCCTGACCTTCAATTAATTTATTGTTGTTCTTATATTTATTATACTGTGGACTAAGTTTAACAAGAAGATTACCTCGTGGAAGTCGGGAGGGGGGGGGGGCAAATAACCGGACCGGGTGACACCAATTTATACGGTTGGTGAGGTGGGGGGGGGGTTAAAACGGAGTGGGCCCGCAACGCTGCAAAAAAGGTTAAGTTCCCTGTCTTAGAGCCTTTACTAAGATACCCCCCGGGAACCTTTTTTTTCTTTTACCGGACCGGGTGACACCAATTTATACGGTTGGTGAGGTGGGGGGGGGGTTAAAACGGAGTGGGCCTGCAACGCTGCAAAAAATGTTAAGTTCCCTGTCTTAGAGCCTTTACTAAGATACCCCCCGTGAACCTTTTTTTTCTTTCCATCCGAATTTTATGCGGTAGCTCTAATTCTATGATTCCTGTGTCCAGATTTAGCCATAAATTCTCACGACTGTCACTGTAATTACATCCCGATTCCCCTCCTCCTTGGCGTCCTGTAACTTGATCAGAAAACAATTCTTTGTATCGCGCATACCGTACTGATTCTCTCAGTGATAGCAGTTTAAAAATAAAATAAGTATAATTGTATAAAAGAATAATGTTTAAAATGTATGTAATTTAGTGTTATTAAATGCAATTATTTATTACAAAATTCCGCTTCATGTGACGTCACGTTGCTTGAGGGCCCCCCCCCCCACTCACAAAAATCTGACCCCGGACCCCCTAGGCACGTGACGTCATTTATGGATGGCCCCTATATTAGGGTGACCAAACGTCCCGTAAAAGCGGCATTGTCCCGTTTTTTTACGATCGTACCCGTTGTTCCGAAAAAGTCTCTCGGGACGCCTAAATGTCCCGTTTTTTTAACCAAACACATTTTCTAATCACTAAAACTTCCTAATTTATAAAATAACTTCAAATAATATTTTGCCTAGCTGTTTAGCCAGTGCCAGTAGTGATGTGGGCTCGCGTGATGGCTGCACTGTTCTCTCTCCACAAGTGTCCCTGCCATCCTATATGTAAATGTATAGCGAAAGACACGAGACTTGCAGCCGCAGGGGGTGGGGGGAGGATGTAACTGTGCAGAAAACAATTGATTCCACGACCGCTACGTGTATTAATGTGTTAGTCTTATGTATGATCAGTGATTATTTCATAAATTTCCCCACCGGGGGAGGGGGGGGGGTTCAGATTTTTTTTTTTATTGTTGGACATATTTTTGCTCCCGGGGGAGGGGGGCACTTGGCTTTCTCCGGGGGATAGTGCCCCCCCCCCCCCCCCCCCTATAGCTGAAAGAAACCCTGTGTGAGATCCCTACCGGCCTGTTCGTGTCAGAGTGACATGTTTTTGTTTTGGGTGTTGAACTTTATTCTTTAATTTTATATTATCTTCTCATTTAAACAATAATTATGCCCAAGTTTCAATGTAAGCTTACGGAGGAGTATTCCAAAGAGTGGAACTATACTAAAAAGGGACGCTATGAAAGTGAAGCCGAGTGCACAGTTTGCAATAATGTTTTTAGTATTGGTCATGGTGGACGTTCAGACATAAAACAACACATCACATAGGAAAAGACTGAGTGCCCCAAGTAGATTTCTAGGTTAGATTTCATAGTTAAAATGAGCATGTTTCAATAAACAGTTCCCCACCGAGGTCTCCGGACCCCTCTTTAACTGGAGGGTATTCCCTCCCCCCCCCCACCACCCCCCCCCCCCCCCCCCCCCCAACAAAAAAAAAAAACAAACAACAAACAACTACAAAACAAGCGTCCCGTTTTTTCCAAATCATGATTTGGTCACTCTACCCTATATGAGATAGAGGTGGTTGACAGCAATGTTACTGTTATGTAACAGTTCTTTTTATTTTTTTATTATTATTATTAATTCTTATTTTTGAACCATTTCTGCTTTTCAAATTTACGAAATCAGCATGGATTATTAAAAATAAAAGATATTTTGCTAATAATAATTAGCATATTTTTTATATTTAAAAAAAAATTAATCATGTTTTTTGTTTGTTTTAAATTTACTTATTTCGGCTTGTCTTTGGACTTTATTTTTATTCAGCTTTATCGAAAAATTGGGGTGGGATACTAGAAATGTTATTTAATATAGGAAGTCAATGGAAATGTTATTAAATTTATAAAGAGTAGGGATGTATAATAAATGGCATATTTGTGTTGTATATAATATAATTTATATAAATATGAGCACGGCCCCTTATTTTCAATTGGGAAAATTTAAAAAAGAAATGTTCACGTTTGTTCTCATATCTCCACAACATACGCCCCATAGCCAGTATTATTTTGTAATTATGATTATTTTTCTTCCCCATCAATTATTATTATTTCAGCAACTCCCAAGTTTCAATAAATGAGTACGGAATCCTGACTCTACAGTACCGGTAGACATTACTCAAGTTCTATAAAATACGACTCCCCATGCAAATATAGTTCTTACGTCCTTCAGAAAGCATAATATGTATTATATTAATTGTTATTTAAAAATAAAATGAAATTTATTTTAAAAATCTATTTTTAAATAGTTTATCTGAACTATCATTTAAAAAAAAAAATTTTTTTTCAAAGCCTAGAGCAATAGCGTCTAATGGAACTAAATGCCAGTTTGTATAAGATAACACGTGAAGGGTGATGTAGAAGGACTGACCCCGCGCTAATAAATATTGCTTTAGATAACATTTTTCAATTTTCTATTAATAAAAAATGTTTAATTTTTTTATTTAAAAATAAATGGTTTGGTATCAAAATTACGTCACCTTTTCTGACTTGGAGTGTATGTAACTTTTTAAGGTATAAAGGCCTATTAGCCTTTCTTATTTTACATTCTTGTATTTCAAATATATTTTTTCACATAATACATATATATGATATTTATTTCTTGGGTCTTTTGTTTGTATTAACTTATTATTGTATTCAGTTTAAAATTTATTGCATTTCAGTATTTGATTACACAACATTTTCAAAGAAATTGATTCATCTTCTCCTTGTTATTTAATTCACATATAGTAATATTTTATGAAATTTATATATTATTTAATTCATTATTTTATCAAATGTAACATATTAAGCTAAGTAAAAGTAGAACACAAGAGTTTGAATTATTTTTAGCATTAAGTTTTCACTCTTTTCAGCCTTTCCTGTTCCAATGCAGGTTTTCATTATGCGCGGATGAATACATAATGGAGACGTACAGATGAAGTCTAAGTATACTTTATAAAAACATCACATATACTATATCCATTAAAGAGAATGTCTAGTGTATTAAAACGTAGTATGGACAGAGAAGGCTCTCCTTTGAGTAAGAGGTCTAGGTCTGGTTATGAGCATGATATGTTACGTGAGCGTCTAAGTCCTCCTGACTTCGATAGACGCGACAGCCACAGTCGAAAATACGATCCTCGCGATGTACCCCCATTACCACCAGGATATCGATCAGAATTCCTTGTTCATGATGGTCCACCACCTCCAAGACAATATGACACTAGAGGTCCACCCCTTAGTGGTCCATATCAAGTTCCTCCTAGGTGGCCACCAGAAAACAATGATTATAGATCACTCTACATCAGTGGAATTCCTAGCAAAGTACCTGACCAAATATTAAGAGATTGCCTTATTGATAATTACAAACGATTCGGCGAAATGAATGTTAAAATAACTATGTCCAATGACCAGAGAGTTGCATATCTTAATTTTAGATACCCAGAAGATGCAAGAGAAGCTTTAGTGAAAGGTGTTAAATTCTTATTTGATAGAGAATTGAAGATAAACCCAGTATTTAACAAGAGACGCAATCTCAGCCCCAGTCGCAACGTTCCACCACCAGCTGGAGCTTCAAGACCTCCTTCTGAGCCCTTTTATAATCGTCATTCACCACCACCCTATGACAGAAGGCTACCACCAATGGATGTACTTCCTTATGGAAGGGATGATTATAGACCTCCTCCTCCTGGCAGTTTGCCACCTGATAGTGAAAGGAAAAGTGAGAAGTTTCCATATCATTTAGATCATGTTGACCCAGAGTATGATGATAAGGCCACAAGGACTTTATTTGTTGGAAATCTTGATGTCAATATAACTGATTTTGATTTACGGAACATTTTTGGAAAATTTGGAATGGTCGAAGATGTTGACATAAAACGTCCTATTCGAAATACAGGGAATGCTTTTGCATTCATTAAATACATCAATCTTGATTGTGCGCATAGGGCAAAGGTTGAGATGTCTGGAAAATACATAGGCAGGTTTCAATGCAAGATAGGGTATGGAAAAGTTACCCCCACTACTGTCGTATGGGTTGGAGGACTTGGACCATGGGTGACAGTTGAAACGCTGGAGAGAGAATTTGACAGATTTGGTGCTATTCAACATATCGAATGGCCAAGAAACAAAAACTTTGCTTATGTTGTCTATGACAGTATAGATGCAGCTCAGGCTGCTTGTCAGCAGATGCGGGGATATCCTCTCGGTGGCCCAGACCGTCGTTTGCGCTTAGATTTTGGTGAAAAAGAACACATTAGCCGCAGCCACAGCCTACCTGATTACCATTATCCTCCTCCCACTAAAGATCGTGCTTATGCTCCTCCACCGGAACGACCACCAGTTCCTTGGCGGGAAGGACTACATGGGCTACCAGATGGTCCAGAGCGACAACGCTATGAAGATTGGCAGAGAGACAGCAGGGAGTACCGTGGACCCCTACCAGACCCTTATAGAGAAGAAGGACGACGACATGATGACTATCATTATGAAAGGCGTAGGGATCGCACACCAGAATATGTGAAAGGACCATATCATGTAGGTGCTCCGCGATCACCTGAAAGAACAAGAGACTATCGAGATGATCGTGGTCCTCCCAGGGAGGAGGAAAGGCGTTTGTCAGAAAGAAGAGAGCATCGAGCACCTAGCCCTAATGGTGATTTTATTGATAATCAGTGTCGCACTTTGGCAGATTTAGCCAAAATGCTCCCTGTTGCATGGAATGGTGCACTTATTTTGAAAAGCTCTGCCTTTGCCACTCGTATGCATGTAGTTGGTGGTGATGTGACATTAGTGGACACTCTTATGCGAGACCCAACATCAACAGAATCACCTGTATTGAAAATAACACAGCGTCTGCGTCTTGACCAACCAAAGTTAGATGATGTGGGTCGTCGTATTCAAGCTGCAGGTCCTCGTGGTCACTGTATCTTACTAGCAATGCCAAGTTCTCTTGCAAACTATGAGGATAATGCCGCATCAATTCAACAGCGGCCTTTAAAAAATCTTGTAACATATCTGAAGCAAAAGGAAGCTGCTGGGGTCATTTCTTTACCTCCTATTCCAATTTCAGGCAGAAAAGATGTTGGTGTTCTTCATGCTTTTCCTCCTTGCGACTTTGGTTTCAATTTTTTGAGAATCCGAGCGCCTAAATTATCTCCAGAGACCACTAAGGAAGATTATCTTGTTGTTGTTGTCGTTAATGGCGCAGCTTGATTTGTAAACATTCATTTTTTAAAAATAATCATACCTTTTTTTTTCTTTTTAAATAGTGTTCGAACTAATATAGGCCTCCCAATTTATTTCTCTATCATTTATTTTTATATAATAATCCAATTGGCATGAAATTCAACATCCCTGTTCTAAAGTTACCAAATCTTGTTAGTTAGTCCTATCTATATATTTTGATCAAACAACCTACTGGTACTTATATTTTAACTTGATAGTGTAGAAACTTTCCTGTTTAAAAAAAGTTGTAATCTATGTTGCATTGTTGCTGATTTTCTTTAGCTTCAAAGAAAATTAAATGTAATTGTAAATAGTAACAAGTAAAAGGTAAAATCTTCATTTTTAAAGATTGTTTTTTTAAATATTTTTTCTACTGTCAGATAGATCAACATGCAAAACCTTTAGAGTCATTTGCATTATTATTTTTTTCTAAAAAGATATTCTTGATGGTAATATTGTTTTACATTTAATGGTAATGTATTTGTCAGTAATGAAAATGAATGTAAATAACTAATTTTAGCAAGTGAATCTTCTTATTTCATTGAAGAGACACCAATTTCTTTGATGTTTTTAAACTGTAATTATTCATATGTTTGCAAGTTTATATACCATTTATGATTTTTTGTGAAGAAATTTAAATCGAATGTAGTCATTTTTTAAAACTCTGTTGCTCTCCTGCTGCTGCACCTATGTTAAGAGCTCAAGTAACATACCATGTATAGACCTTTGTGCTTTGGCAAATTGAACCATATTATGTTAATGTCCACACTTTTAGACAGGAACAAGAAAAAACTATGGCTGTATTGCAGTGGTTGTTAAGGTCAGCTCTATGATGTCCTTATGAAGCTACTAGAACAAGATACAGAAATACAGTCATTGCAGTTTCTGAAAATGTCAATGAATATTGTAAGTGAAAAATTTCGATCAAATATTATAAAAATATAACTTCTTAGCTCTAGGCAAGGGGTATTCAAAATTACGACTCGCTGGTTAGATCCCATCTGCCATGGGTCCTAATCTGGCCACCGTAATCAAAACTGGCTCACAGTGATAAATATGGAACCAGAAATTACTTATATAATTTAAAATCATAAGCCGTACTTCCCTTTGAGATACTAAGTTTGTTGGATATATTCTCCCTTCATTTTAAATGATTTTGTTTTTTCAAGACTGTTTTGTTTCACTACAAATATTTCAAATAAGATATGTGCATAGAATTTGTTCATATTTTTTTCAAACCATAGTCTGAAGACACTAAAACACTAATCTGGCCCCTTGTTTAAAAAGTTTAACGACCCATGGTATAGGCAGTAAATTTTCCACAAAAAAAAAACATAATTGAAATCAATTAATGTTATTATCACCTTTTCTTTGTTGTTAGCCCACTACTGCTTCTCGTGCTGCATACCGCATTTTGCTGTATTATGCCTGTTAGGGCAACTAACGACCTTGAAGTGTTTAACGCGACAGCCATTATGATCTCCCATTATATTACAACTGCCTCTGTAGCATTACCGTACTGTACCATAACCGTACTGTACCATAATGAAAAAAGATCAGTGGGAATCACAATTTTCATTTAGAGAAGGCAACGCTAGAAAACTAGTTTTACTTTCGTCATGTGTTTAAAATTATATCATTGTTAATGTTTACATTACAATGTAATGAACCAGCTGAAATATCTGACAGATTTTTTTTGCCATTACAATCACTTCGGACTCAGATGCTGACCCTTCTTAATTAATGGCTGCCTAATTTATTTTAATAATTTCTTAATTAAATAAAGTGATTCTATTGCTCAAACACTAAATCACTAAAGTAATGAGGGAATAGAACTACCAGTTAAGTTAGTAATGAAGGTCTTGGTAACCTTACATAGTTCACTAAATTCCAAAATGTATAACCTTAAGATTCCTTCTCCAATTTACTTTGAGAATCTATATACTTCTTTGGCCCACTAGAATCATTTTGTTTTGGTGATACATATTATTAACATTACTATAATTATTTTGCAACACTTCATTTCAACTTTATTGGGTTTTTTTTCAGTATTTGTTACCTGCCAAACATTAGTCTGTTATCATGTAAGTATGAGAAGCATTTTCAATATTCAATTAGTTTATTCTAATTTATATGTTATCATAAGCATGTTTATATTAAGCACTGGTTGAAGCCATTTTATTGTAATGAAATGTGCTCTAGATTCTAGATCAGCTGTTTGAACCAGGGGAACCCTAAAATTAGTCTTAATTGTGAAAAAATTCACATTAAGAAATTGAAAAAAAGTATGATGTGTTCCATTGACACCAAAGGTCACATTGATCTAAATGGATTTAGACCTGCTACTTGAGATAATATTTCCAGAGTTTATCCTCAAAAGATGCTAAAAGGGAGTGCTTGGTTTTTAAGAAGAAGATATATTGGTACAATGGACCGGGTATATTAAATTTGGGGTTAAAATTCACACACCCTTTTTCTATTACTATTACAGTTAAAATATTAATTTGAAATTGGTTTTTGCTTTAATTTTATAATAGTTATATTCTTAATTTAGTAGTAATAGTTATAATAAATGTTGCACTGCTTTTTGCAATAATTACCACAGAATGCTAATGAACAAAATAATTTTGTATGTTTATTTTATACATAATGTACCGGTACTACTACTACTACTACTACTCATGTATACTGAGATGTTAAGTTAGTTATTATAAACCTAAGACTATGTTGTATGTTATGCATGTGGATAGAAGCTGGGACACGTCATCGTTAATTTTCTTTTATTTTAGAAATTTGGGAAATTATATTTCATTTGATTATTTATAAGCCACTGTGTTGCATTTAGAGCGATTGTAGTCATTATGCATAGCAAGATTTTAATAAGTATTAATATGTCTGCAACTATTTCTTTACAACTCTTGTCATCTGCCTTGAGGCATATTCCCAATTTACAATGTTAGCTTATAGCATAGCATTTTCATCAGTGTAGTAGTAATAAAAAACCTTAAACTTTAAAAAAAAAAAACAGTAAAAATTATAAATGCTGAGCTCTTCCATTATGTCCCACTTCAAAAGATTTTTGAACAATTTTCACAGACATTCTAAAGTCGTTACAGAAAAGTCATTTTAGGTTTAATTTTGTTGACAAACATTGTTTTAAAGTTGTAATTAAGCTGCCATAATTATTAAATTGAAAAGACCATTTTAATCTAATAGTAATCCTCCTCCTCATGTCCCTTAGTCCTTGGACCGTTGGGGCGCCACAGATGACATGTGAACCATCCTCCTCCATTCCTCTCTGTCTTCAGCACTACGCACTGCATCACCCAGTGTTCGTCCTGTCCACTCTTTGATGTTATCCTCCCATCTTTTTCTTTGTCTTCCAACAGTTTTTAAGTTTTGACATTTCTAATTCATTGATGAATCTTTTTTTAGTACTGTGATTTTACATGTGAATAATTATTTTTTTATTTTTCTCCGCAGATGAAAAGTGGAATTCTAAATAACCTTTTGGTGATGTGTGAAATGAATATTGAAATAGAACAAAGAATTTCATGGACTTGTGGTGTATTTTCGTAAATGCCAGCCTGGATTCAAAAAGTAATGGGTTTAAACAAATCTCAGATGTGTTAAGAAGTCTTTGATACAAGTGATTCCAACAAGATGTATGCGTACTTTTAATGTGAATGCTATCAATTTTGTCTGTGGTAAGTGCCAGCAGTGTTAAAACCTTTTATGCGTTGTGTAGGCTTTTATCATGTGACTTCTTCTCTAAGTGTATTTAATTCTGTGACAATACTGTGTAATTCTTTTTAAAAAGTAGATCAGAATAAATCCATTTAGTGATGTTTTATGGCACTGTTATAAATATTTTTAAAATTTACTTTAAAAAATAAGTGCTAAACATTTAAAATATTCATGAATACAACACATGAGTTGATCAAATTCATATAAACTAAGTTTCTTGGCAGTTCAGTTTGACTTTCATTTATACCGTAAAGAAAACTGGAAAATTTAGACTAATGAAAGGCTTAGAAATATATTTCTTTAATGTAAAAATATAAAGTATATGAAATTAATTTTGTGCATGACGTATTTAATCTTGAGCATCATTGATTTATGATACTGTGTGTAGGTGTGGTGGAACAAATTTTCATGACTTCGGTTCACCATCAAAACCAATGTGGGAATATTTCTATTGTGTATAGTTTCCCCAATATTCTATTTTTTTAAGACCAAAAAACACGTTCCCATTAATATTGTGTCTCTTTACAATGATTTTTATTATTATTTGGACAATTTAATGTATTTTCCCTTTTCCTTATATCTTATATAACTCAACTTCAGTATTGTGGTGGTTTGTGTATTCCTAGAAGTATAGAACAATAAACATATATCTCCAATGATGAATACAAAATGGTTATGTGTGTAAGATGTGCTCTAGTAGGAATCAAATGAATGTGTTGTGGTGCCGTAGTTCCATTGCTATTATTACGCCATTTCCAGGCCAACACGTGTTTTTAACGGGAATCTTATTTAAAAAGTGGTTGTACGTGGTGAAAGATAGTGCCCTTAAGTTGAGAAAATGTGCCATTAAATTGTGGTACTTAATTAAACCTTGTGGTGGATGATAAAAACTAATTTGTAGTAGGTTCACTTTTTTCAAACTGCATGAAAAGTCCTGGATGTGGATTTCAGTGTCAATTGGTGGTTTATTTGTGATCCTTGAACATATTCTAATGGATATCTCAAAACTGAAGTGTAATCCAGTACCAAATATAAGAAGAAACAGTGAACATAGACAGAAATTACGATTCAGGAAACCTTCTTCATAAGCCCCAAATAGAAATACTTTTAAAACTAACGAGGAAATGAAATGTCACTTGTACTAAAAGTGTAGTGAGACTTTTAGTGCTGTGAAATATTTTTTTTGTGAAAGCCAATTGGAACACCTTGTTCACATTTAACCTGAAAATGTCTTTGGTGCTTTTCATATTCCCATAAAATACGATGGGATATACTACTAACGTGTGCGCTTCCGTATGTTCCACTTCATGAACAGCAATGGTTTGAACGTGGGAAACAGTGCTATTTACTTCCACAAAGTCTGTGCATCTCTTCTCTGTGATAACTACTGCTCAAAGATGTCGACAATGATCATATACCGGTATTTCAAATAATGGCAGCAACGTTTTATTTTAAAGGAACACTGGAATTGTCACCCAAACACAAATCTGTTGTGACATTTGGCTGTGGTGTGTTCAACTCAAGTATATTTACAACTCGAGGACCAATCTTACAGTATTCCTATTTAACATTTTTTTTTTTTTATTAAGGCCTCTTTACAGCCGTTTGAAAAATAAAAGTGAGCTCTTCACTAAAAAAAAAAAAAAAAGTAGATTTAAAAAAATAAAATTCATATACCGGTATTTCAAATAATGGCAGCAACGTTTTATTTTAAAGGAACACTGGAATTGTCACCCAAACACAAATCTGTTGTGACATTTGGCTTTGGTGTGTTCAACTCAAGTATATTTACAACTCGAGGACCAATCTTACAGTATTCCTATTTAACATTTTTTTTTTTTATTAAGGCCTCTTTACAGCCGTTTGAAAAATAAAAGTGAGCTCTTCACTAAAGAAAAAAAAAATAGTAGATTTAAAAAAATAAAACTATTGAGTTTCTTATTTATTGTTACTGATTTTAGACTTTCAACCATTAGAATTAGATCATCTCCACACAAAAATATATTTTGATAATGTTTTTATTAAAGCATGTATTTACAGTACTACCGGTACTAGTACTATAATAATAATTAGCTATATACTTATACTATACTATTTAATATTAGTTAGTAATACCAGAAGTTACCTGGTGGGATGAATTATGAAAATCATTCAAGTTCATAGTAGGGTACCTGTACCTATTTAATTAAACAAATCAAGCACCAACTTCTTAAATTAAATATGATGTTAAAAAATAATTAAGGGAGGAGAGACTGCTATCAGGTTAAGGAGAAGGAAATAAGTGAAACATGGTGTGAGAACACCTGAAATAGAGACATAGCAAAACAATGCACAAACGAGTAACACAAATATTAAAGTTAAATTAAAGATTTAGCTGAAATATAGTATTGGAAGCAAGAGGAATGTAATAGTAATAGACTTAATAGGTAAGAAAGCTAACATATGCAATGGGGATGATAAGCTGTTTGTTTGCTGACATGTATTTTGTTTTGTAAATGTGTTACTTCCTTTTACAGGTTTCTTAAGCCTTGTTTCACTTATTTCCTTCATTTTTATGATTGAAGTTTGAAGATTAAGTGTCTCTAATGGCTAATGGGCAACCCAATGTCTCAAAAATGTAAGTGTAACGGGGTTACTTTGCTTTTATGAATACATTCCAACAGGAGATTGATCTAAAGACTAACATAAACGTGCTTATGTACAGAGTGAGTACCTGTACTGCGTTGTTACACTTGAATGACGTATGAAGTTAGTTTATCAGGATAGGCGGATAGGTTAATTAAAAATGTGTTTTTTTTTAAGATGGTGACTTTGCCCTTTCGTTAAATTCAATGAAACACAGCAGACCTACTTATTAATACCGGGTACACATAGGTTTTATAAATACAAAGTCATTTTCTATGTCGCATTTACCGTTTGATCCTATTTTATTGTCGTAATGGGGCAAATAACACACTTTTGAAGAAAAAAATATTTTTTTTAATTTGAGGCAGCTTTCGTTTTTGGCATTATACTCAACCTAATAATAAATACGGTAGCTTAAATGTGTCATAGTACATTTAGTAGTAGGCTCTTCTTTCATCTCAGCTTCTCTATTGACTTTATCTTGTTCTCTGGCAAACTCCATTCAGTCATCTCGAGGTTTTTATCCTAAAATCGTTTCAGCACTATTGGTTTTGACCAGAATGAACAAATTGTTGGCCTAATGTCAGTTTTGTCTAGTGCAGGCATTCTTAAATCTCCTCATATTCATTTTTATACTAAATTATAGCTGCTTTACTACCGGTGCTAATTTACTGAGTTTCCTATCATAATTTTAAAAAGTTTTCTTTTGGCTACAAGATCTAGGAGTTCTCAAGTCAGTGCTGTCTTTCACTTTTAGATGCTGTCTCTACTATAGGCCTACTACTGCCACTACTACTAGTAGAAGTAGTAGATTTTTTTTTACAATTCATCTTCATCACTAAAGCTGTCTTCAGAGTATACCGGAGTGGAGAAGTCAAATATTGTTTTCTCATGGTAAGTAGGAAGGCGAAACATCATAATATAGTTATCATACCGGTACGGTACTCATTTCTCATGCAGTTAAACATTTAGGGGCAATAACTCTAGAAATTCATGAAATCAAATACCGTACGGGTATCTCCTCGGCGGTACAGATCAATTCAATAAATGCAGATTATTATTCTAATCATAAGGAGAATAAGAACACATTTAATTAACCGTGAAATGGGGTGACTTTGACTATTTAATACTTCTACAGTACGGCAGGCCTGCAAAACTTAAAAATGTAAGGCGGGCCGTAAATGTTTATGAAATGCCGTACCCGTTACTTGTGGTACAAGTTGTACTTGTGCGGGCCGAAAGATAATTTTTTTGGGGGGGGGGGGAGTTTAAGAAAATAATAAAGAATAATTGGTGACTTCGCGGGCCGTATGTTGTGCAGGCATGCAGTATGATATAGTGTAAGTTTTTAGGAAGGTAGCCATATTTATTTCCCCATCTTCACTTGGAAACTGTTGTAGTTAATAAGTTACAGTGGTATTTTATTAATTGGTGCTGTCGAATGTGATTCAACTTACAATAAAGTGAACGCCGCTAAATCATGACCCGCTTCAGACGTCACTAACTTAAGCTACGCCCAGGGCATCACCAGAGTTCTCGTACCGGTACTACTCGTAAGTCGTGCCCAGGGTCGACCTTAGGTACTGGGCGCTGACAAAGCAGGCAACTTCCCGGAGAACCAAATTCTACTAATTCTAGGGGCATCATGTTTAAAATTTTCAAATCTAAATTCACGTAAAAATAAATTAGACACCATTTAAAAATATGCTGTTGTTGATAGACTCTCCTGCCTGCAATTCCTTTTTTATAAAGAATACATGATGGCTGAACGGACTAGCAGCTTGTCTATTTACTATTTAAAAGAAATGGTTGGGCATCCCAAACAAAGTGGATTTAACATTTTTGCAACTGCTAGATTAGAAACACTAGAAAATATTAGCATCATTTATTTATAATAAATGTAATAGAATCCTCAAAAAAATTTTGACAATACTTTGAATTACAAGACTAATGATTATGATTTGTTGTAAAGTGTTATAAATAATTTGGAAACTTTGGATAACACCGCCAGGAGAAAAGTTTTTTTTTTGAGCTTTTCCATATTTACAGAACCGACAAATAAAGCTAGCACGGCGACTGAGTAGTTTTAAAAGCAGGTAGGCCTAATAACGTATTTAAAATGTATTTATTTTTCACTTTAAAAAAGTAAAAGCGCATTTTAACAACTCGAATTATTTTAGAATCGTGGAATTTTACTTCCATTATTTAAATATTTGGTGGGAAATTAGTCGTTTATTACATTCAGTTAGTTACTTCTTGAATTTAATGTCAAAGAGCATTTAGAAAATGGGAATGGAGGGGTGGGATTGGAACACATAGAAATAAGAACATACCGTAGTCAGAAACAAAGCAAAGAAGATTGTGATGTACGGTACATAAACATTTAAAAAAAAATTTTTTTACTGTTATTTTTGCTTTTTTAAAATAAGGCGTCTAAAGTCATTAAACTTTTTAAAGAAACAAACACTTTTTAATACATTCAAATTAAAATGTTTCAGAACGCAAGATTACAAAGTTATAATTGAGCAATGAATCTTGCAGAAACTATTGATGTTTAACCAGGTTTTCAACGTACAACAAACTTTAGAGGTCGTCGCATGAAAAGGCAGTTTGATTATGAATCTAATCCATTGAAGATCTAAGCTGTTCTGTTGAAATTTTAAATACCGGTATCATAGTTGACGCTGCTGTTAATTCCTTGACAGAAAGTTATGAGCAAATAAAATAAAAACAGAGCAAAAATAACGACATAGCAAAAATAAAAACATGATAGAACGGTATAACAAAACATCTCATAAGGAAATGTTTTAAAAATGATCAGATTTGCTAAATTTAATTTAAAATGGGGACATCTAAAATATTGATGTGAAGAAATACTTTTTTTTTTTTTAAATGTACTTTTGCCATGCAAAAAAAATATTTTTTTTTTTTAAATGCCTCTGAATAATTACACTGAAATCGATGTCAGGAATTTCAAATTTTGCTGAAAATTCCAGTCTGCGTTTTGAAACTGAAGAAATAAATATTGGTTGAAACACATTTAAATTTCAGGCTTTATGCATGACTCTGGAAAGGTTCACATCTTTGGCAATACTGTCTTTTGAAAAGGATGTCGTTTGTCAACTAGTTTATGAAGATATTAATCTTATCATTGCTTCTGCTAACAGAAAAGCCATAACAAAATTTGCTTGAACTTGAAGAATTGTGTACCGGTACTAGTCACGATGCCAAATGAATTGTTTTAAAATCTAAACTTGATACGTCACTCAAGCATCTGCAAGTTGGTACGTTTAGAGTCTTTCAAAAAGATGTATGCAAAAAACAAAAAAATTTTGGGAAAGGGGGGGGGGGATGTGTTAAGGGACCTGCATACGTCGCAAGGTTGCATTTATGATATGCTACTTTAGGTAAACTGTGTGTAGATTTATGATATGCTACTTTAGGTAAACTGTGTGTAGATTTATGATATGCTACTTTAGGTAAACTGTGTGTAGATTTGTGATATGCTACTTTAGGTAAACTGTGTGTAGATTTGTGATATGCTACTTTAGGTAAACTGTGTGTAGATTTATGATATGCTACTTTAGGTAAACTGTGTGTAGATTTATGATATGCTACTTTAGGTAAACTGTGTGTAGTCCAGTATGTGTACACATTTTAATGTATGGGCGTAGCTCATGCAGTGGCGTGGAAAGGTAGGTGCGTATGGGATGGTCCGATCGGGGTGGAACTTCCTGTATTGAGGGGCGTTATTTTCAACCGACTGCAGTTTTTTTTTTTCATGGAAGGGCGTGGAAAAAAGCTTGGCCTGCCCCGGGCGGCACAAACCCTGGCTAACATTAATAATCTGAGTGATTAATCAGCTGATAGTCTTGTGACAGTGTGTCATCATCTCTTTGCAAGGATTGCGATAAACCTTATTTCCCGAACAGCCCCTGCAGCAAGACTTAACAAATAATATTCTGATATCATGGCCTTCATAAGGTCAGTAAACAGATTTCTGCTTAGTCCAAACTGCTTGTATAGTTATATGGCTGGAAGCAATCACCCAAACTGCTTGTATAACTCAATGGCTTGAAAGTATCCACTTCAACTACCGGTACTTTTTTTTTTCAATTTTGAGAATTAGCACTTTCAATTCTTGTGCACATTCAGAGAGTTCTGACAGATTTTTGGTTGCCTTATGACACACAGCATACAACTCCTCATGTCTGAAATGCACAATTCAAGCCTATGATAAAATAAGCGATTCCAATTCACAAGCTATGGATATTTTTCACTAATTTATTCTAAAAACACCCAACTTTCTTCCAACCATAACACAAGCCCCAGTCCAGTATTTAGTAAGAAAGTCATTAATTCATTGATGAACCCATGATTAGAAAGAACTTCCGGTAATAACATTAATGATGAACACTTGAAGTTTTTTAACTATAGTACCAGTATTTTCCATTTCTTCACTTGTCCTGTCTGCAGAGAAAGGCCCTTGCTCTTAGCTAAAACTTACTTTTATTGTCCTGTCTTTACATTTTAATCTTCCAAATACCTCGCTCCACTATTTCCTTCACACAGCTTGAACGCAGACCTTTATTATCCTTTATTCCATGCTCAACGCAGACCTTATTATCCTTTATTCCATGCTCAACGCAGACCTTATTATCCTTTATTCCATGCTCAACGCAGACCTTTATTATCCTTTATTCCATGCTCGAGCTCACCACAGAATATTCTTTTGGGCAAGGGGTCGTCAGACAGTCCCGCCCAGTGAAGCCGGGACTGCGTTAAAGTAGTAAAGATGTTGAGGAGACCTGCCTGTGCGAGTACCTCATTGTCTGGACCCTGTCCTGCCATTTGATGTTCAGGTTTTTCTGAGACTCGTCACATGAAAAGTGGTTCAACATTTGTACGCATCATTGATAGACAGTCCACTTGTCACAGTCATAGAGAAGCGCAGCCAGCACAGCCGCCGGTATACCTTCATTTTAATTAGAAGAAATGTATTACATCAATACATATCTGAAATTTTCGTAGCTTGTTCAATAATTATTTTGTAAATCTTTTTCCTCATTTCACCGGCAATGAAATTTGTGAACCATGGAGAATGCATACCAAGTCTGCACCGTGTGTAACTTGCAAGCTGCTAAGATCTCTTGAGTCTGTCAAAGGGGGATTCTTTGGTTACAAAAGAAGCAATGTGCGAACAATCTTAGTGGTGGACGTTAACTTAAGCTTCTGCTGTTTTGCAACACTGGAGTGAACTATCATATTTCTAGGTACCGGACAACTTGGAAATCTTTTTTAATTTGACGTTTCCACATTGGGCAAAACGTCTCCCACACTATTCCAAGCACAGTGACTGAACTAAATGATTCAAGATATGTTCACTTATTACGATATTCTGTAAATAGAATTAAATGTACTTAGAATGAAAAGAGTGTATTTAGATCAGAGAATTTTTCCGTCAGCACTCAAAGTTTAAAGTGGCTGTCAATGAGTGAAGAACAAAGTGGCTGTCACTGTCAATGAGTGAAGAACAAAAGAATGATTAGCCGTAAGAACTTTTTATTAACAAAATTATTTGTAAGATTTTAAGACAATATTTAAGATCAAATACATTGTAAATGCAATGAGAATAAACTTGATTTAATCAAATATTTTCAGCAATGATAATTTAATGATATTTTTGATCCATAACTATTTTATAAAGATTGAATTACATATGTATTACATTATATATATCTGAATAAAGAATTAAGCCTCTTAATTTTAACCCAAACACTTATACAAAATTATTTTTTTTTAATGATTGGATGTGGTTATTTTTTAAAAATTATATAGCAGAATTTTAAATGCAACATTTTATAGATAAATGTAATAAAAACATGGTTTCTCATGTCTTTCAAAGAATTTTATTTCAGTAACTCATCCAGACAGGCAATAACAACAATTAATATAAATTAGAAATTCAAACAATAACCCTGAGATAATATTTAATATCAATTATGTTAACATGTGTAAATACAAAGTAACCATTCTAAAAAAAGAAACTTAATCGGCATCAATTTATTGCATGCCTTCTTTACCAAAGATAAAGTCTATGCCGTCATTGACATCAGGGACAAACTGATGTGGCCTTGACAGCTCGGGTTCATTATCAAAATCTCTGTGGCCATGATCCACTTGGATTGTCTCTGTAGTGATTTCCTCCGCGGGTCTGTACCTGTACACACCGGTGCCAACCAAAATGCCATGGATGTGGTCAACCGTTTGCTTTTCCAGTTCATCGGTGACAGGAAACAGCCGAGAGGCAGGCATGTTGACAGATCTGGTGTTGGTCTGTTGTCTTTTGATGTAGCGGTTGTACAGGTTAGCACCAACAATGTCAACATTGGGGTTGTCACTAATGGTAAGAAAACGATTGTAGAAACTAATTATGGATTATAATTAGGATATATCCATTGAATTTTATTATTTTCATCATCCTCAGAAAATTAAAAGGTAGGCCTACTTTCTTTCAAATTAAAAGGTAGACCTATTTTCTTTCAAATTTAAAAAAGTGATTAACTTTCTGAAGATTATGATTAATAAACAAAGATTTAAACCTAGACTTTGACAAAGCTAGATAAAATTTGTTGTAAACATTTATTTTATGCCATGAACTCATTGTTATTGAGCAAGTTATTGAATTGTCAGAAGTTGACTATTTGTCAGAATGCAGTGGCTGTATGATGAAATCAGCCTTGACAATCAAAGTTTAAGTTTAAGAATGGTTCTTTGCTTATGAGATCGTAATAGAGATTGTCCATATATAGGGTTGTAAGCAAGCGTACAGAGACTTTAACTTTATTGTACGGTACCCATTGTGTGTACATGGTGTACAGCACTGGATCATGTACATGTTGGTACAGCACTGGATCATGTACATGGTGGTACAGCACTGGATCATGTACATGGTGTTACGGCACAGGATCATACACATGGTGTACAGCACTGGATCATATTTTTTAAGACTCTTGTTTATAGCAGGGCGTTCAAGCTTCTATAAGGAAAAGATTCAGATATGAGGGAAGTGATTAAGGAATGTGCTCAAGGACTTAAGATTAAACTGGATACCAACCCCAAGAAATAAAGACGTTTGATTGGTTGAATGATACCCATTTGTTTGGCAATCTTGGCGATAGTATGCTCAGCATATCTGTATGTTATTTCGCAGGGCTTCCCCACAAGACTTTTGTAGACCAGTTCTTTTCCAGTTATTTTCTGTCAAGTATACAAAGATGACAAATGTAATGTGGTGTCACATGTAAGATGGTGTCACATGTAACGTGGTGTCTTGTGTAACGTGGTGTCATGTGTAACGTGGTGTCATGCAGTTAACTGTGTTGTTTCAAGGAGCTTTGAAATCTCAATAACAATGAATCAACTGAATGAGAGGATATATCTTATATCTAGGCCAACAGAAATTTAAGTAGATACAAATCTATGCTCCTGTACTCAATAACATCCTATTATAATTGTAGGATCTCCCCTATATCTTACACTTGTAGTTGTATCATCTTTTATACCAACAATAATACCGGTACTATAACTAAAGTATTCTCAACTTCACATAAACATAATGTAGTGGTTATTAAATTTGCTCCATTTGTAAAATAAATAGAAGTATAAAACACAGGATCTTATCATATAATAATCAAATCCACTATAAATATCCTAAGTTTGTGGATCGTGTGTTCAAATTGCCCAAAGAAAGGTCCAAATTTATTTCCAAAAATGCTTGGGTTTTTTTCTTTGCTGTTTTATTGAATTTTGTAACAACCAACTGGCTACATTAATAACTACCTAACATAATTTCTACCAGGGTAGATAAAACACATATTTTTACAACCCACTGGTTACATTAATAACTAACTTAATTTCTACCAAGGTACATAAAACACACTTTTTTTTTACAACACACTGGCTACATTGATAACTAACATAATTTCAATAAAACACACATTTTTTTATCTTAATAAACAAACTGTGTACCTTGTAAAGTGTTTCAAGGCACAAAAGGAACGCCCCGTTACCAAAGCGTGGCATGCTGGCTTCTGCGCTATACACCAAATCCATATTACAGGCAATGACCGAAACTTGAGAGACTTCAAGAGGATCTTTCAGTGGCTTGTTCGGCTCACCCTCGGTCAGCAACAGGTCAATCAGGATCTGCAGGTCCGTTTCCCAATGACAAGGTTCTCCAATCACAAGGATGACTAAACAAATTATATTCTTATAAATAATAAAGTCAGAAACGATCCCAGGCTTATATTTTATAAAACACAGGGTGTGTTAAAGCTTGAATAAAAAAGCAACCAATGTCTTGGCAAGAATCTTTTATCAACAGACAACTTTTTTTATTTATTTAAGTACCGGTACTGTAGCAAAGAGAAAGGAGAAAATTAGCTTTGAAGGTAAGAATGTATACACCATGCGCGGTATGTCTATATAGAAAGATTGCAAATTAAGGTGTTGCATGATAAGAAAAACTGAATTAATATCTAGAATAAATGATACTATTTGAACTATTTCATTGCAACGTTTTAAATGTGGCTAACGATTTTATTTTTAGCAATTAATTAAAAAATTAAACCTTTTATTTTCCCAATAATTCTTGACTAACTAAATTTTAATTTTAAAATGTCCAAGTTATAATATATAGACAATTTTTTTATGCATATCAGGAAATGGAATGTTGAAGACCAGATAAATAGTGAATTAATATGGTATAATTTGGAGAGGACAACACTTACCATCAACTTTAGGGAAATAAGGATTCACTTTGTACTCTTCAAACTCCTTGCTTGCCTAATCACATTGTCCAAAAGGGTAGAAAAATCAAAGATAACTTCACAGAATGTACGCAATTTTTAATTAATAATTCATACACATTTCATGAACGACTGATTTAATAATTATTAAAAATCTGACTTTAAAAAGAACAACTTTTAAAGTAGTGGTCATTTGTGTCTCATAAAAAGCTCAATAACTTACCACTTTGACTCTGTTTTTATGATCTACCATGTCCAGGAGTGGGTAAGCCTCTTTTAAATCTTCAATGGTGCACACATTTTTAAAACCAAGAATGTTTTAGGTTAAGAATATTAAACCCAAATACATTTTATTACCTCATGTATGAATAAGATCACTACTTTTACGTTAATAAAAAAGATCTATACAGGATATAATGTAAATATATTTTATCAGATGGAACAGCATGAACAGAGCATTGTATTCCATGCTACCATAACAACATTCTGACTTATTTGCTTAAGGTTTTTTAAAAACACTGTTAGTGTTGACTATCTCCCCATAAGTCCAGCATATGCAAATCATAAAATAATCTACGAAAAGGATACTCATGTGCAATCTCACATTTGTGTTGCTGACCAATGACTAAAGTGTACTGATCATGGAATTCCCGAAGTAATTTGACAGGAGTTGGAGCAACAATGACATGCTCTGGGAGGACCTATGGAACAAAAGTTTTAAAAAATGGTAGATAAAATCTTATAAAGCTGTTACAGAAACACGTTTGTTGTACAAGTATACATTTACCAGCAGACCATATCAATTAGAATGATTGTCTACAGAATAAAATATATTTTCTACAGTTGTATGAATCAATATGAAACTGTGACACAAATTATGTAACATAATATATTACAGGTACTTTTTATCAATTTTTCTTCAAATATACTATACCGGTACAACCTTAGCATTTAAACTTCAAAATATTCAGTTTTTAGTAATTTCTATTTTAAGATATAGAATAATTTTATGTTTGGTAGGTTTTATTTAATTATACTTGCAGTAATATCAAACCAATTCCCAATTTGGTGTGCTTTATCAACACTTCTGCTGCTTGAATTGGTTACAAATGCCACAGGTACTTTAAAATTTCCTTCAGAATCTTTCAGCTTTGCCATTGCCTTCTTTGCAGGATCAAGTGGAAAACTTCCTTTTGCAAGTACTCCATCCACATCAAACAATATACCAAAATCTATCTGAAATTGATTGTTTATATACTTTGAAACTCTTACAAAGTTAATCAGAGTTAGAATAAATATGACATGTCATTGACATTGCCTCACAAATTAAGTCACAAAATAAATTTTCACGCATTACCTGGTTTTTCAAGTCATGTCCATGACTGCCATGTCCATGTGAATCAGAAATACTTCTTGATACATTTTTATCGGAATCACAACCAAAGGTGAACAAACGAAGTCTTGATTCTCCACTATAATTTTTAGCATTGGAGCTGCTGTAGTATCTAATAAAAATATTAGGAAGTCTGAACAGTTGCAATATTTTTCTTTGCTTCTGGTTGCAATGTTTATAGACTTGGTTCAGCAACTGGCAGTTTTTTAAGGTTATAAAACGGTATGCATTATTGTAAGGCATACTCGTTTTAGTAGGCTAAATAATTCTATTTTTCTACTGACTAAATTAAATTCGCTTGACTCCGCCCTGAGTTCAGTGAAAGCAGTCTCAGTGACCGAGTCAGTGTATATAAAGTATATAGTTTAATTATCAATGATAATAAATTATAAAGGCTGACTGAGTGATTTATTTTTTACTATGTTACTACTTGACTTAAACTTGGACAGATTCAGATACATTTTTAGTCCTAGCACTACAACTGGTGAGTAGTAGTAGTGAACGAAGAGTTGTAGTATTGTCAGTTCAGTGTTCACACCAAGTCATTATCTAAACCACTTTTAGACGAGTTATTTGGACAAGTTACTAAGAAGACTAAGAATCACAAGAAGACACTCGGGTTGGCTGTAATAAAATGAGTTTTGACTACAAAATTACAGCAACGTGACGTAGAGTTCGTGCAAAGACGAAAGTCATGAACTTCTATCCAAACCCACAATGACTGGTTAAAGACAATACAAAGTTGAACAATCTTTGTTTACATGACACTAGTGACTTTACTCGTCTCGTGGGTGTTTTGACAAGTTCGCTCTCCTCCCCTACCCCCCGCTCAGAATTTTTTCCCCTTTAGCAATCCCGTACTCAAGAGTGATATCATTATTTGTTTTCGCATTTTCTTCAGTAACATAATATTCATAAGCAAAATCTTTTTTATGGAGAAAAGGGGCAACAAAGAGGGTTTTTTTTCGCTTGCCCTTACTGATTATCTCACATCTAAATGATGTTAACTTAAAATATTTCAAAATTGCTTTATAATTTTTTATTTAATATGCGAACGTTTCCTTTCCAAATAAAAGCACTGCCTTCTTGACCTCATTGAAAGCGATCTACCTTTTTTTCCGGTTTCTATTTTTACAAATTTATGTTGTGTTGCCCGAGCGATTCCCATTGAGCCCATTTATATTCCACTTAAATAAAAAATAAGAATATTTAAATTTAACAAAAAGCTTTTCAGCAGTGGCACCACTAGTGTTGGTGACACTCAGTGTGGCAACTAGTGGTGTCAACCCCCCCCCCCCCCCCCAAAAAAAAAAAAAANCCCCCCCCCCAATACATTCCTATTTCACTTTTTGGCTATGGACTTCTTTAGAGTCTGCATGCTCTTGTGATTTCAACCTGCTCAGGTGGCAATCTCATATTCTGAAATGATTCAACCTAATTTGATGTGAGCATTGACTGGTGACACCCAGAGCCTTCGTATGGGCCCTTCAACCCCTTTGGCCTCAGGGGGCCTCGAATATTAAAGAGCCTCAAATTATGATGAGGGAAAAAAACAACAAAAAAACATTGAATGGAGGAGGCACAAGGCCGAAAAAGGGCGAGAAAAAAATCTGTACAACAATAAAATTAACATATATTTTGTGATAAACGACATAGTTGTATTTATAATAAATGAAACAACCCCTGCAAATAAGGTGTTTCGTATAAATTCTTTATAAAATGTAATATCGAGCAATGGGGGGGGGGGGGGGGGCTCAAAATTTGACAAAATATGCATAAAAGCAACACAATTATAAGAATTCCTATTCGTGCCCCCCTCCCCTTCAAGACTCAAACTGCAATTTTTTTCACGCCCCTGAATTATATTAATATTCTAACGACCCACCCGCGTTTACACCGCACATTTATTCCACCAACCTATTTTAGAAAAACAAAAGAAAATATTACTCACCAAACGCAGTTGCCATATTTAAAAAAAAAAAAAAAAAAAAAAAAAAAAATATTACCAACCCAACCCAGTTTCCATATTTAAAAAAAAAAAAAAAAAAAAAAAAAAGAATCTCATTTTCATTTAGCGATGTTAGATCTATCGGGAATTTTATTTCATGAAATCAGTATCATCATATTTTATTAATCTTCCCCTTTTAAAAACAGTTTCCCTTTAATAAATTAACACCCGGTAGTAACTGGTGCCTTGGACCGATTACAATTAGTCGAACCTATGAAACATCACTACACTCGATATATTTGATGATCTGTATATTTAAGGCTGATCTTGATAGAAGTTTACAATATTCGATTATAAAAAAAAAAAATGTTCCGAAAATTGGCTTTCCTGATTAAAATAAGTAGGCTCTAGGCCAGTGGTTCTCAACCATCCTAATCCCGCGACCCTTTTAATACAGTTCCTCTTGTTGCGGTGACCCCCCAATCATAAAATTATGTCGTTGCTACTTCATAAATATGTGTTTTCCGGTAGTCTTAGGCGACCCCTTTGTAAGGGTCGTTCGACCCCAAGCGGGTCGTGACCCACAGGCTGAGAACAGCTCTAGGCCAAAGCCACAGTCTTGCATCTTTTTGGTATATATCAGTATTTTTATTTATTTATTTTTAACACTGTATTTAACTACCTTTTCATCAATGTCTATTATAGGCCTATAATTTTAAAATAGTTCTTGCTAAGTATCAAACATGTGCACAGTGGCGTAACTAGGGGGTGTGGACCGCACCGGGTGGCACCATCTCAGGGGGTTGACACCAGACTGAATTATTGCATGTTTAAAGAGCACACACTGCTCAGTCTAACTGAATTTCATAATAGGATAACCAATCACGCGTCAGTTTTTCACCCATGTAACCAATCAAAATGCGTGCTTTATTTTTAGTTCAAAATTGATGCTTCAGAAATTAGGTAAAACTATAAGTAGGTCAGAAAAACACCGTTTTATTCATGATTCAGTAACTCTAAGTGACAGGAAGCTAAATTTATCTAAGTTCTGAGAAATAAAGCTTTCCGTTGATACCAAATACTGAATACCAGGCCCGCATCTAGTGGGGGACAACCATGGCACTTAGCAGGGGCCCGAGCTAGATAGGGGCCACCTTTTTCGAATTTTTAAAATATACGCACATGTTTTAAACACGAAAGTGGCCCGAACTCTATCAGCTGCCTGGGGCCCATAATTCCTAGGTGCGGGCCCGCAAATACGATGTGGTCGGATGATTCTAATTCTAAATATATGAATCAAATCGGTAAAAATTAAAACATTAAAAAATGACTTTTTGTCCATTTATAGGTTCAACTATGTAATATTTTACAAAACTTTCTAATATATTTTACAAATTAATTAATATTCATTTAAATTTAAGAAAAATGTTTTTGAAACCAAATATATAGAAAACCCAGAAAGACTCGAAACTTAATATTTTCGTAGATTTGTCACGAGCAGTGATTATTTCAGAAATTCCCCCCCCCCCCCCCCCCCGGGGGGGGGGGGGGGAGGCGCTTTCCCATCCTCTTCATCCTAGATACTTGGGATCGGGCCGTTCGGGACGAATTCTTTCCATCAGGACGAGGACTGACCGATATAAAAATTCTTTTGTTCCCCAATCTGTTCGAATTTACCGGCGTGCTTCCTCTGAAGTCACACATCTGAATGAGAACTAATAAGTCCCCGATTTTGCTAAGAGAACTCGCTGAATGGCTGTTTGAAATAATTTATTATAAATGTCTTGTGTTCAAATTGTTTTATTTTTGTGCTGAAAATGTATAATGCAATCAAAAAACATTTACATTTATTTGGATCAATAAAAGAATCTTATCTTATCTTATATTCATAGATATAGTTATATAAATGTACCCAAGATTTGTTAATGCCATTGATTTTCTTAATTGGTAAACATATGTTTATTTGTAAAAGAGAATTTAACATCTCTTTTTTCACAAATGTAATACCATATCATTTAAATCTATTGCCATCCACGTCAAAATGTCCAAATCCTATTTCCTACCTCCAATATGTATGTACCCAAGGAGGTGAATTATTTATCAAATTCATTCCTTTATTTTGAGACGTATCTTGTGCTGCCTGGGGCAAAGTAACCAACCCCTCCCCCACCCAGATTTAAATAAATTTCGAAAATCTTCAACGAATTGTTGTCCCTTCCATACCAAAACTAACATATTTTGAACTTCATATGGTTCGTTCTTATTTGTATGAGGTATACGTGGATTAGTGAATGCTATTTAGCTATGGAGTTGCGCTGCACTGACTGACTTCAACCGCATTTTCTTATAAGAATTATGTTTAAGGGTTAGTTTTTATTACGTTATAAATTTAACATCACTGTTTGGCATTTGTTTATGTTAGCCATCATTTTTGGGTCATCACTGTTTGGCATTTGGTTATGTTAGCCATCACTGTTTGGCATTCGGTTATGTTAATCATCACTGTTTGGCATTTGGTTATGTTAATCATCACCAATGTTTGGAATTCGGTTAAGTTAGCCAAATATATTATAAAACAATGAATGATCAAATGTTTACAATAGGCAAAAGTAAGTCAATGCTTAAGTGGCCTAATCTACACCATTAAATTGTGGAGCACTACTTAGTGGGAGTTAAACAGTGAATGCAGACATGTCAAAATTAAGTTTAACAGTGGATTAACATTTGATTTAAAAAAATAATTGTAATCCAGTAACCCAACTGATGTATAGAATGCCCATGTTGCTATTGAATGTTACCATTCATACAGTTCAAACTCCAATATTAGAAAGCAAAAAGGACATAAATAAATTTGTTAATTGGAGATGAATTATTTTTAAAAAATTTTTTTTACTTAATGGAAGGTGTGAATGAGAAACACTTGACACATTTGCATCTATTGCCTCAGGCCTTCCAACCCCCAGTTCATGATACCCCCACAAATTGGCCCTTGCAACCAGTGAAATATCCTCTTCAACACCAGGCACAGAAAAATTGAAAATACCCCTCTACATGCACAGGAGCCAAAATGATCAATAAATTGATCGAGGGTCCTTAATATATAGAAGAAGAAATGGTTTTTTTTTTCTTTCCTATTATTTTATTTCTAACAAACTTCCATTCCAACTTTTTTCCATACAAACAAATTTCTGGTAACCCATTAAAAGTCAATACCAGCAAACCCCACCCACCCCTCTTTGTTTTCTTCTGCTTTTTTAGTGATTTACGCACCTGCATATGGTACGCACCTGCATATGGTACGCACCGCATATGGTACGCACCTGCATATGGTACGCACCTGCATATGGTACGCACCTGCATATGGTACGTCACCATTTTTGAAGACAACTTACTTTTTTATTGCAATTCAAATTATTCATATTCAAAACTACGGTACTTTAACTCAAGGATTTTTAAAATGAAAATCATCTTTCAAAATGGAAAATCAACTAGTATATTTTTTCAAATCTTCTTTCAAACAATACAATTGACTACTTTTTTCATATCTAGGCCTTTATTAATTTGATAATCACAACAAAGGATAAGTTACATTTAATTATTTTTTAAAATTCTTTAAAAACTAAAACACCTAACTGAAAAATATGTAAGACCACAAGAATTTAATTTTCATAATTTTTATTGAACAGAATGTTTCATTGATCTTCGGCAAACGCATATTTTTAAAACAATGTAAAGTCCTATACTTAATACAGACCTGTTTACTCTTACGATTTTGGCATACAATGTACGATTTTGAGGTGTTAACATGTGTACTGTATGTTTATTTTTTTCTATAAATATAAGGTATTGAACAATT